ACACCCTTCCCAAATAAGAGAGCGCTTTCTATGATATTTAATTAATGTGTTTTCAAAAATATTTGTAACAGGCTAACTCTGCACTCTAATTTACTTCTCCTCGGCCAAGGCATGCCACTTAAAAAGATTTCTGGATTTTGAAGCCCATAATCTGGTAATTAACAGTGAAGCCCTCCTTGATGCTCCTTGTGTCTTAGGAGAATTCATCACTGGCTTTTTAATTTCATTTGCTTCTTTGTTTGGCAGTTCAGAGATCTCTGAATCAAAGGTGTTTAAAAACAGAGCATATTGGGATGTAATGCTGGCATTGAACACAGTGAGAGTGTGTACTGTCTAGTGCTTAGAGTGAAGTGGGTATCAGGAATCTTCCCTTATCCAGTTCTGGCACTGACTCGCTATGGGGATGTCTACAAAGCAACTGGGTGCTATGATTCCCAGCACGGATAGATCTATATGCATGAGTTTTGCTCAACCTAGCCACTAAAAATGGCCATGATGACTCTGGCTTGAACTAGCCATCTGCGCACACAGCTAGAGGACTGGGCAGAATTGTACTCTGGCAGCCAGTCACCCATGCTGCTGCAGCCAACACAGCTAAGTTTAGTAAACTAGCTTAAGCAGAGCTAGATTGTGTATCTATACCTGAACTCAGAGTGGCCTCTCAACTACTATGCAGAAAGACCTAGTGTGACTGTGAATATGTCATTTTATTACTCTGGACCTCCAATTCTAATCTTTAAAATTAAATAATCAGTTAATTCTGGTGGCTGGGAGACATTTACAATGGCAGGCTCCAAAAACTGGGAAGCCCTAACTGAATAGATCAGGAGACCTACTTAAGTTATGTTCAGGGTAAAATGCAAGAGAGACCTCAGTACAAAGACAGAAGAGTGACCTGGCAATGTTTTAAAGAAAAGGAAAGTGGCAAAGAGAAAAGAGGAAAGAATGGATTAGGGAAATAAGTAATGATACCCCCACCACACACACACATGCACAGACATGAAACAACATCGTCAAATCAAATGGCAGAGTAGGATGGGAAAAGAGAAAGATGGGGATGACAGAGCGTGCCTCCTTGATCCACTAGTGGCAGGTCCACACGGAAGATAATTGCCTCCTACTGCTACCAGTTGTTCTGTTAGCTAAAATAGAGGACTGCAATGAATATGAAAATCCTAATCCTGTTGATGATCAATGATTAAATTTTTGTTAATGAGATTTTTAAATTTTTAAAAAGACTGGGAAATTAGATCCTAACCCCTCCTCCTCCTAATGGACAAATTCTCCATCCAAAACCAGGTTAAAAGAAAATTATGGATGCAAAGTTAAGCTCTCAACATTAGGAAATGCCAGAATTAAGGTTGCCTGTGCAATCTTCCATGAGCCCCTTTGAGCATATGCATTGTGACACAGTTTTAAATTACATATTTTTTCCACATGACCCTCCTGCTTCAGTGAACAGGCTGGAGCTACTGTCAGGGCAGAGCAAGGTTGTGCAGTCAAGGCAACTGTTGTCTGCAGAACTCCTACCTTTTTTGTTGCAGAGTTGGAAGGTGTGTAGTTAAAGAGACAGGCCACTGCAGGAAGAGAAAGGGCAATTTTGTGGTGAAGGTAACTGATCAATACCCTGAAGAATTTGATTCTATCCCCTGCCTCTGCCGAACATTTCCTGTGGGCAAGCACTTAAGCCAAACTTTTCCTTGGTGAAGAACCTGGTGCTGAGTTGCAGGATGGCTGAGCACTCCCAGCTGCAGCTGAGATTGATGGGGGCTGGGCCTTGAACATATATATGGCCGTGTCCAGACTCAGGGTTTTTTTCGGGAAAAGTAACCTTTTCCCGAAAAAACTTCCCCTGCGTCCAGACACAAGCCACGTTCTTTCGAAATTATTTCGAAAGAACGCGGCTTTTCTTTCGATGGCAGTAAACCTCAATTTACGAGGAAGAACGCCTTCTTTCGAAAGTTCCTCTTTCGAAAGAAGGCGTTCTTCAATGTAAATAGGCCGTCTTCGAAAGAGAGCATCCAGACTCGCTGGGTGCTCTCTTTCGAAAAAGCGGATTTCTCTTTCGAAAGATCCGCCTGCAGTCTAGACGCGATCTTTCGAAAGAGGCTCTTTCGAAAGATGCTTTCGAAAGAGAAGGAGCAGGGGAAAGAATTGAAAATGGCAGCTATGCTGCATAATGGGCAAGAGAGGAAGAAGAAGGCAAAGTAGCCGTCAACTTGTAAATGGGAGCAGGAAGGTACCCAGTACTTGTTACTGCTTCCATTCTAAGAAGCAGGAGCACAGTTCTATATAAACCAATCCCATTGTGCATCAATGTATGCTGGGTAAATTTTTTAATTTTACTTGCACGTAAGTGGCTTCTGGAAAAGCCTATTTCTGAAGCTTT